TGGCATGCATTCATATATTTGTCTAGATGCCTATTTATATTTTTCACAGCATGATCAGTTACAAGAAGAACTTGTAACGTCTGGCATCTTTGATGTTCTACTTTTTGATGTGCTGTATTTATATAAAGATCTGTTGCAGCTAGGGCTGGGTATCGAGTTCGATACTTTTTAGGCACCGACCGAATTGCCTCTACCATCGAGTATCGAAAAATGTCTCGTCGTTCGGTACCACATTTCGATACCTAAGGGGTTAATCTCATCAGCGTCAGTGAGCCAATGAAGGCCCGGGTATATTTCACTTTCCGCATTCCGTTCTGTCTTGTGCTCAGCCGCGTCCATATACTTTGGCCTTAAGCCTGCAGCACTAGCCGGTGTGTTCGACTAGAAGAGGTGCGGCGCAGATCGATCAGTGTTTGACATCTGTGAGAGCGATTCGAAAGCGCACGGAGCAGTCTGCTCTCTTTAGCTCTCGTGGCACTGTAAAGGCCCTTTCGCACCGCTTTAGTTCCAGAGCTAAACGTACGGTACTAAAGTACTGGGACGGTTTTGCGCGAACTATTTTCTAGTACCATTTAAAGGGTTGCATTCGCACCGAGAGTATGTACTAAGAAGTGACGTAAGCTGGTCGACCAACAAGCTGAAAAATAGTTTTTTTTAGGTAATGCAATCTTGTTAAAATTTATTTCATAAAATTAGTATCGAAAAAAGTATCGTTCAGGAACCGGTATCAAAGTCAAGGTATCGATATCGAAAAATTTTGAACGATACCCAGCCCTAGTTGCAGCAGAGATTATTAGTGAATAACCGTTTTTTTTTAATTTATTTATTTTTTTTAATCCTTTGTTTGGGCTTGTCAGTGCCTGGTCATCATTAATTTTAGTTGTGTGGAATAGTTCAAAATTTTGCCAAATATCTCCCCAAAAATCTAATGAGTTTGGAACAACATGGAGAGTAAAGAAATGACCAAACTTGAATTTTTTGGGGTGAACTTTTTCCACATGTGATAGAACAATACATTGTACGAACTATTTATGCCATGTTCTGTGTTTATATCAACAGCATGTCTATTATCCTTTAGCTTTTCACCTCTACGTGTGACCTGAAAACCCAAGTAAATATATATGCTATGTTTTTTTGTGTGTGTGAACCTACTGACCCTGGTCATATGTAGTGCAGTACATGAGCGGTGTAACAGAACGTGCTGTTTTGGACTTTACACACTATGTTATTGTTGTCAGGAGTCTCGCTGCCAGGCCATCTGTGTGCATGGCTAAAGTTTCACCTGCAATGTATAGAACGTTATCATTTTTGTTTTTTTCCGTCAGGAAATGCTCCATAAAAGCACTTGTTTTTTTTAAGGACATAGGATTTAAGCCAGTGTTGTTGATTTCACCAAGTCATCCTATTGTTGCCAGCCCTAAACCTGTCTGCAGCCACCAGACATGTCGTTGTATGAAATAAAAAAAATTATCCCTCCTCACTCACTTTTTGCCTCTTGTTGGAAGTGTAGCACTCGCAGTCTGTTTCTCAGCGCAGAGATGAGGTAATGAGTCACTTGTTTGGACGTAGCATCTTGTCTCGCCCTCGCCTCTCTTTCTCTTTCTCTCTCGCTCTCGCTCACTCACTCTCACCCTGAGACAGATGCTTCCCAGAGTCTGAGACCAGAGCACAACAATTCCAGCCACGCCAGAGCCCTGCACATTCAAAAGCTCCTGTATGCTTTTAATTACTCTTACTGCAGATGGGTTCTGCTTGACCACGCCCGGCCTCGCTGCCTTACTCACCCTGCTTTTTGGGTCAGCTCCTTTTGGCAGCCCTTCGTATTTATCTCTTCTGAATTTGTTTGACCCCTCCCAGTTTCTTGGGCTTGAAACTTCAGTATGCAGAAAGAGTAATCTCTTGACATAATTATAAGTACAACCATAATAGTGTGTTTTGCTGTGTTTCTGGTCATGGCCTCCTAGGTTTTGGCAAAAACCATGGTCTCATAACTTGAAATCGAAAACCAGTCCTTTCCCATTTATTTACGTTCTTTACCACAAATACTTCAAAAATGCGTGCGTCCTTCTGCCGATGTGGGTGGAATGTGGTACTAAAGTATGCAGAATAGGCAACAGAGCTTTTTGTCATGACGATCACTGCATGTTTTGATGATTTTCAGCTTTTGTTTCTTGCAATTTAAGTCCATGTAAATGCATGTATTGGTGGTATGACATACAGAAAACACACGCTACCATTCAAAAGATTTGGGTTGGTAAGGTTTTTAGTTTTTGAAAGAAGTCTCTTATTTGATTAAAAATTCATGTAAAATTGGAAGTGCAAAAGTGTGTTTTTTGGGACGTTGTATTAAATGGTATATTTATCGCGGGTACACCTTCGATAACGATATAAAACATTTTCGATATAGTGCACGATATAGGCACGTGCTCTGAGTGACGCAGACAGCACACACAAACATGAACACATGCTGAAGTGAGTGCTGTGCCTGCCTGTGATGAAAAGATTGTGAATAAAATAATTAATATTAGTCGAATTTAAAATAAACATTTGCATTTGAATGTTAGGAGTGGGTCAGGTAGCATCATCAGTGGCGCACAAGATGCGGTGATAATGATGTAAGTGACGTTGTTGCATTTTAATGTTTTGTTAGTCTTGCCCACAAGATGTGCCGCTGCTGTGTTATGCATTCAAAATATTAGAGAAATATAGAAGCTCAATGCGGAGAAGATCTTGAATGGGTTAAAACCGAAACCAAGCCATTCACATAGAATGCATATTCAGTGCATTTTTTTAGACGGACAAATATGACTGCTGCACTCGCGTCTCACGCTAGAGATGTGGCCATGAAAAGTTAAAACTTTTAGAAAACACGTCATGAATTTGTGGAGGTTTATTCCTTTTCACTGCGTGTGTCTCATGTTTTTAAATGCAATCTGCATGATGGGCAATTCGGCTCTGTATTAAAGGGGTCCTATTATGCTCTTTTACAAAGTCTTGATTTTGTTTTGGGGGTGTACTAGAACAGGCTCTCATACTAGGTTGTTCGAAAAGCACATTATTTTTCAAATATTTTACATTATTACAACACCTCTCTCCCCAGTCTGGCATGAACGGCTCGAATAGTTCCTGTTTCAAATGAAGGCCCGCCTTCTGAAACACGAACTGTGCTGTGATTGGTTAGCTGGGCCAGTGTGTGTTGTGATTGGCACCACTCGGCGCCTGGTCGGGAAATGTCATGCCCTAGCCTAGCCAACTGCAAGCTTCAGTGTAAATATTGCATGAAAAATCAAATCAATTTGAGCGAGATTTAAACCAGGATGATTAGGGCCTTTCGCACCGCAGGAACCTTTTCATAGTATCAGAACTAATTGTGGAACTACCCACTTTTTGCCGTGTTCGCACCGCTGGAACTGGGAGCGATTTTAGTACCGGACTGCCTTTTTCGAGAACCAAATTAGCTCCTACTCCGGGGCAGGGTCTAACCAGCACAACTGGTACTAATCGTGATGCAAGTAGACATGAGACATATTTATTGGCCAAACGCGTACGAAAGCTCCCTCACCTGCCATGATTTAAAACGCCGTGTAAACATACTGCAAACATTGTCAACTTATTTCGCAAGTATGGAGAACCGCGATAGATGGACGAACGTTGAAGTGCAGGCACTTGTAGCAAATGTAGCACTGGCAGTTGTCGTTGGAGATTCTTAGTCCTCCTTCCCGTTCTTTCAATCGCTTTACGCAGCCTATTAGGAATGAGAATGTGACGCCGCGTTGAGTTCTGGGAAACTGCTTTGTTTATCCGCCATACTTGCAGGATAGCGCTGCCGTTCCGCTGTTGAGTTTAGGGCAGTATTTGATTGTGAAAAATGTCACCGGTGTATGTCATTCATACTGCATCGATAATTGCAATAGTAACTCCGATCATCGTTCTGAGAGAAAAATGGACAATGCGATATGTTTTTTCGCCTTTTCTATGTGTAAAAACACCAAGGGAAGGAGGTCGCGGAGAAGACGCCGAATAGTAAATCTGTTAATGTCACTGATTAAACCCACTGACTCTCACTCACTAAAAGAATCACAGTGCAGTGTGTTTTTGAAAGTTTTGATTTGGTTGGTTTAATAGTTAACATTACCTTCTTTGCGAGCATGACTCTCACTAGGCTTGTGAATTAGCAGAACTTGGACTTTCTAAATTTAAAAAATCTAAAATTGTAAAGCATATACTATGTGCAGATATGCATATAAAATCAAAATGTGAACGCAACGCGTTTAAGTATTTTCCTCTCATATAAAGAACGCGCTTAATGCACCGAGGCAGTGATATTTAAAGACCACATTCTGTACACACATCTTACTAATAAAGCATAGTTTCCAACAAAGAAATGGATCGACTTCTGTCAGCTTGTTGAACACAGTTTTATTTGGACAATGTACCATATGATGACTGAGCAGCGAGCGTCCAGCAGGCGATAGTTTTCACACTAATCGGGTAAACACTGTAAACCAAATTCTATCAAACCTAAGAGAGAAATGCAGCGCATATCATGCAGTACGATAAAATAGCTTCTCTTCCCTGCAAACGATACAATGAAGAATGAATGGTTGTTTAACTTAAAGGCAAAAACAAAACAAAAGAGAAGCATTTATCCTTATAGAGAATGAGAAGTAACCATGGGAACGGATAGCGTATCCTGCTAATATGGCGGCGCCTTCCCGAAATGCAATGTGGAGTGAAAAGATCGTGACGTAACTCCTCATTCTCTATACGTCGACATGTCATGTCTATTATTGTGAAACCCGCGAGACAACAAAAACACTGCTCCGATCACGGCGTCCTCCATCCTCCTGTTGTTAATGTTGTTCTTTGTTTACGCTGTTGAACGCTGCGCACAAATGACGTCACTGTGTGTCGACCGTCTTACGTACACTGTCAGTGCGAATACAACCCTTTAAATAGTACTGGGAAATAGTTCGTGCAAAATCGTCCCAGTACTTTAGTACTGTACATTTAGTTCTGGAACTAAAGCAGTGCGAAAGGCCCTATTGTAACTACTCTAAGTTCATCTGCCTTGGGAAAGCTAGCGTGTCTCAGACATAGTGATACCACTCGTTGCCTTCTCTAGTGCGGCTCAACCAGGTCTCGTCCCATTCGTCGATATTTGTGATATCACAAATCCCAGAAAATGCGTCGTAGTCCAAACGAGTCGTTCGTTGTAGTTTTTGAAAAGTGATTTCTGTTAAATAAAATATCTCCTTTTGAAGTGGACTTTGAGCTTTGTAACTTTGCGGATCTTTTTTATGCTTAAACAGCAACATTACAGACTAACTAAAGTTGAAAAAGCATAATAGGACCTCTTTAAGCAATGCATACATGATACTGTTTTGTTCATAATTGGTTATGCAATTTACGACATTATATTTGATTTATGAGTTCATTTAGACGTAATGCACGTTTTTTTTATAGACCGTTATTTCCGTGCGTTGACATTGTGCTGCATTATTTTGCTTATTGTGCCCTCCTGTGGCCTCGGGAGCCAAGACAAGTTTCCTTAAAACCTGTTTAATCTGCATATAAAACATTAGAAATTAGATATGTTTAATTTGTGTTTGACTGTTAAAACAAAAAAATATTTGTTTGTCTCAATAAATTGGGTTAATTTAAAAATAGTGGTTAAATGTAATTTTTTTTTCTATTGCTCTGTTTTAAAAAAGGTTATAAAAAATGTCAATAATTATCGATACCATACATTTTTTTTTTAGCTATATCGCCCAGCCCTACGCTGTGTATGTTTTTTATTTTAATGTTTTTTTATGTTATTTATTCCTGTGATGCAAAGCTGAATTTTCAGCATCATTACTCCAGTCTTCAGTGTTACACTATCCTTCAGAAATCATTCTAATATGCTGATTTGGTGCTTAATAAACATATCTTATCAATATTGAAAATAGTTGCTGCTTAATAGTTTAGGAAACTATATTATATGCATTTCTTTGTATACAAAGTTCAAAACTAGAGATGCACCGATTGCAATTTTCTTGGCCGATTCCGATTTCCGATTTTTGTTAGTGTGATCTGCTGATACCGATTTTTGCCGATTCCGATTTTCTTTCTAAGAGCTATAATTGACAGCATATACAAACAAAATTCTACTTTTCTTCAATGCAAAGTTTTATTTTCATAAAAAACAAGTAAAAAGTCAGTAATAAAATAAGAACACAAAAAAAAAAATGCAAACGGCAGCACAAATAAATGCAATAGAATAAAGAGAGCTATGAAACTAAGTTTTTCAGGTTAAGTTTTTCAGTTAAGAAATACTACAGAAATTAAAGTAATCAAATGTTAAATAACACATCCAGTGTTATTTTACATTTTATTACTTTAATTTCTGTAGTCTTCATTGTAAAAATTAAATACAGATTAATGCTTACCATAAAAGTTATAAAACGTATTCAGTCAAGAGCAGAATTTTTTTTTTATTTTTTATTTTTTATTATTACTTATTAAAATGATTACTTTTGTTATTTGATTAACATGACCGACAGCAGCATAAATATTGGACTGCGGTCCCTTTAAGAGTTTATCCACGGACCCAATATACTGTTACACAACATGCATTCTCTTTCTCAACTATTTAACGTTCCAAAACTGACTGTTTAACCTGTTGAGCGGTACGGTCTAGTGCTGTGTTCGATACATCGATACGACGATGTATCGTCACAGAGATTTGACGATACGAGTATCGATACAGCTGGCCCTGTATCGATATTGTGGCTCATGTGCAGCAGTGGGCCGCGCTCAACGTTTAAAATGGAGTCGAAAGTGCGAGGTTTCTAAAAAAGAATGAATAGAGCATAATATATAGGTTACAGCAAGGTTTAATCTGGCCGCAGAGGAACACAACCGGGGTTGCCTGATATAAAGAGACGTAATCCCCGAAACAGAGCTTCCCACTTGCACAATACAGAAATATCTGCTAAGTGTTACTTATCTTTGTCAACCTGGCAACCATGTGCACGCGCTCTCTCTCCACTGTGGATAAACGCTCTGCTAAGTGTTACTTATCTTTGTCAACCTGGCAACCATGTGCACGCGCTCTCTCTCCACTGTGGATAAACGCTCTGCTAAGTGTTACTTTAATGTTTTTTTATGTTATTTATTCCTGTGATGCAAAGCTGAATTTTCAGCATCATTACTCCAGTCTTCAGTGTTACACTATCCTTCAGAAATCATTCTAATATGCTGATTTGGTGCTTAATAAACATATCTTATCAATATTGAAAATAGTTGCTGCTTAATAGTTTAGGAAACTATATTATATGCATTTCTTTGTATACAAAGTTCAAAACTAGAGATGCACCGATTGCAATTTTCTTGGCCGATTCCGATTTCCGATTTTTGTTAGTGTGATCTGCTGATACCGATTTTTGCCGATTCCGATTTTCTTTCTAAGAGCTATAATTGACAGCATATACAAACAAAATTCTACTTTTCTTCAATGCAAAGTTTTATTTTCATAAAAAACAAGTAAAAAGTCAGTAATAAAATAAGAACACAAAAAAAAAAATGCAAACGGCAGCACAAATAAATGCAATAGAATAAAGAGAGCTATGAAACTAAGTTTTTCAGGTTAAGTTTTTCAGTTAAGAAATACTACAGAAATTAAAGTAATCAAATGTTAAATAACACATCCAGTGTTATTTTACATTTTATTACTTTAATTTCTGTAGTCTTCATTGTAAAAATTAAATACAGATTAATGCTTACCATAAAAGTTATAAAACGTATTCAGTCAAGAGCAGAATTTTTTTTTTATTTTTTATTTTTTATTATTACTTATTAAAATGATTACTTTTGTTATTTGATTAACATGACCGACAGCAGCATAAATATTGGACTGCGGTCCCTTTAAGAGTTTATCCACGGACCCAATATACTGTTACACAACATGCATTCTCTTTCTCAACTATTTAACGTTCCAAAACTGACTGTTTAACCTGTTGAGCGGTACGGTCTAGTGCTGTGTTCGATACATCGATACGACGATGTATCGTCACAGAGATTTGACGATACGAGTATCGATACAGCTGGCCCTGTATCGATATTGTGGCTCATGTGCAGCAGTGGGCCGCGCTCAACGTTTAAAATGGAGTCGAAAGTGCGAGGTTTCTAAAAAAGAATGAATAGAGCATAATATATAGGTTACAGCAAGGTTTAATCTGGCCGCAGAGGAACACAACCGGGGTTGCCTGATATAAAGAGACGTAATCCCCGAAACAGAGCTTCCCACTTGCACAATACAGAAATATCTGCTAAGTGTTACTTATCTTTGTCAACCTGGCAACCATGTGCACGCGCTCTCTCTCCACTGTGGATAAACGCTCTGCTAAGTGTTACTTATCTTTGTCAACCTGGCAACCATGTGCACGCGCTCTCTCTCCACTGTGGATAAACGCTCTGCTAAGTGTTACTTATCTTTGTCAACCTGGCAACCATGTGCACGCGCTCTCTCTCCACTGTGGATAAACGCGCTTGCTTTCTGAAAACACTGGTAAGCTTGCAGTTTAGCGATCTCCACTTCAATATTCTATTCTCAGAAAAGTGTAATTCATCAAGTGTTTATTTACACGAGAGAGAGGCTGTGTATGTATGAATTACCACCGTTTTGCCACGTTTCTCTATTAACAGTGAAGCTGTGGCTTTAATTCCTTCAGAAACAATGATGTTACCAGCTCCTTGTTGAGAAAGATAATGTAGCTCTTGAGCGATTAAGCTATTTTATTGATAAAATTGCGCTGCAGCGCTAAAAAGTTTGTGCGTGCGCGCAACGTGATCTGTGTGAGTGGCTAAAATCGTGTGTGCGTGAGATACAGTGAAGACAGCACATTAGTTTAGAACTCTTCTAATTTTTTTTTTTTTTATCATAGAGAGTGTGTTAATTTGTGCAATGATAACCTACCAGCAA